GAGAGGGGGCGGAGATTCCTAGAAAACGTCGCCTTGCGTGGCGTGGTTCTCACAGAAAGACCTGGGAGAAGAAGCAAAGGACATTGGGGAGGAGCTGAAAGCCTGCTTGCGAACTAGGGTGTGTGCGTGCGCGTGCGCGAGTGGTTGCGAGCGCGCATGGGCGCGTACCAGTTCGGGGGCCACTATGAATACGAGCTCCTCTTCCGGTTTGTCTAGAGACTGCGCATGCGCATCACTGGCCTTTAAACGTGCACCGCCGGTCCATCCGGTAAAAGGATCCGGCCTACAAATTACGAGTTTGTTCCTCCGCCACCGAGAGGAACTATTTTCTCTCAGTCTGGTAAATACTTTTAACTAACCACCACCAAATAAGGAGCATATACCACCCGATTTATTTCAGTCACCACATAATGAAAGTTTCTTAGGGTTTATTCTGGCTCAAAGTAGACAAAAGTCGGAGAGACACCTCGCGGAGGGATCCGATTTGTTGTGGTGAGGTGCAGAGGTGGGGGGAGGAGACGCTGACAAACCAAGATGGCGGTGGCGGCGATGAAACCTGCGGCGACCGGGACTTAACTGTAGTAGCAAAGGCTGCAGTAGTTGGTAGGCAGCGGCAGGGTGTGGAAGAAACGGAACAGGATTAAGGGTCGGTAATAGAAACCTCAGCCTGAGACTTTTAGAGTACGGCACCCGCCCCCCTAGGCCCTGACGGGCGGTGGCCGTCCTGCTTAGGGCCTAGACTCCGAGAAGTGCCTCGGTTTCAGACAGCGGCGGCGCCATGAGCCCTTAAGGGCGGTCTGAGCCCTCCCGATCTCTGGCCCAGCCCTCGGGCCCACCATGGAGCTGGGGTCCGACGATTTCCTACCGCCGCCGGAGTGCCCGGTGTTCGAGCCTAGCTGGGCCGAGTTCCGAGACCCTCTTGGCTACATCGCGAAAATCAGACCCATCGCCGAGAAGTCCGGCATTTGCAAGATCCGCCCACCTGCGGTAAGGCCGGGAGCTGATGGTCGCCGGCGGCGAGCTTGTGGGTGGATCCGGGTAGCCCGTGGTGAAGTCCCGAGCGGAGGGCAGCAGGTGTGGGAAGATGGATTGACTGGGATCTTGTGGGTGCCTTGCTCATCGTAGAAAGGGTGCTGGAGTTAGGGGTTCTCCCGTTTTGTGGCATGCCAGAGACCTGGGGTCTGAGCCCACTCCCACCCACCCTGCTCTTGAGATGCTAGTGGGCTGGGGAGAGTTCGCAGGGAGGCACGGAAAATACATCTGGTAGTTTGTGTCCTCTACATCAAGGCTATGCTCAGTAATGACTATTGTGTCATTTTCTTTAAGGCAGGCTGTGTGGTGTAGTGGAAAGATCACATTCTTAAATTCAGGGAGACAGAATTTAAAACTACTTAGAAGGTTAGCATCTGAATGACCTTGGGCATGTAAGGTAATCTCTGAGCCTGTGAAATTGTGTACTGGGAATAATGAGATTAAACTAGGTAACATAGTACACTCTGGTAAGTGGTAATTACCGTGACTCTGGAGGTGCTTGATGTGGTCATTGGTTTGCTCCTGTGTGTGTTGACTCATGTTTACTCACACCCTGTCAGGCCAATTCATCTATGATAATATCCTGGCCTGATGGATCAGTGAGGAAATCGTTCTCATACTGGGTGCTTTTTCTGCCTCCTCAGAGATGGGTTTAGGAATTGGTTCCGTTTATGTCAGAACTTGCGCAGGGTCTCCGCAGACTTTCTATGAAGAAATTTAGACCAGTTAGCTTGGTATGTCCCTTCTCAGAAGATTTCTACTCTACCTCTGGCCCAGAATGTAGGTGATCCTATAAGATAAGGCTTTCTTGGGTCCCCAGAAACAGAGCAGAGCCATGGAAATCTCTCTTGGTTCCCAAACGTCAGCAAAAAGGACCATATCTTTGGTACTAGTCCTGACTTGACCAGAAGTTTTCCAAAGGCTAGGACAGGCTGCTGCCTCGCTGACACTGGAGGAGAGATGAAGATCAGTGTTTAGTGGCCACATGGGATTTGGTGGGTTGGATTGAGTTCTCTTACAGCACTGTGTTTCTGAGGAGGTGATCCAGGATGTGGAGCCTCATTCCCACCTGAGAAGACCACCACAGGTCTCCTTATCTGACCTAATGTTTTTGGTGCCTTTCCATTGGCTGGCTTTAGATGGGTCCTCTAGGGTCTAGGAAGAGTTAGGTAAGCTAATTTTTTCCTTGTTGGAGCCTGGCTACAGTGTCTGAGGATGCTTTTCTCTGGTGAGTTAGTCACAACTGGTAGTAACAGGCCTGGAAGGTCAACAGAAAGGAAAGGTTGGACGCCTGGATCGCATTGAAGAAAATTTTTTGAAGTAGTCTGGAGAGGCACCTCTGACCTAGGGATAGTTGAAATCTGGATTTCCCTTTTTCTCCCTCGGGCTTTTGGGCAGGTTGGCCTTAGATAGGTGCGATTACCCTGCTTTGGGGGACCAGGATGGGAAAGACAAGCCCATGGTGTGTGTATGTAGTAGTCATGTGTGTCCGTGTGTGGCCAGAAAGTCATTTGGTAGGTTTCTTTTTTCTGCTCCAATAGCTTGCTTCTTTCCAGTCCAAGAGACCTGACTCTGTTTTTGTTGTTGACGGTTTTGTGTGCCCCCCCCCCCTTAAAACACCTTTAGGCCCTAAAGCACCTGGCTTTCTTCTGATTGGAACTTGAATTACTCACACAAGTGATGCTTGAGTTCAGGATGCAAATCTGTGTGCGAGCAGGTATTGGAGTTTGTCTTAGAGGGGTGGTTTTGGGTTTGAATTTCAGAGCATATGACTGCTACACTTGGTATAGATGGATGGGCCATATGGGAGCTTCATAGCTTCTTGAATTAGATAGCCATCCTGTTTGTCACCACACTCTAAATGCCTTCATCCTGAGCATTTAGTACTGGATTGGGACTGAAGATGAGAGGTTTGCTGGACCTTCCCCATCTCTCTGTTGTAGCTCCTGCTTTAGGATTTCAGTTCTGCAATCTCCTGTCAGGTGCTTGATGTTGCACTGATTCGTTAGAATTTGGCTGAGCAGGAAAAAGGGATACCTGGAGTTTTGTGTTTGAGCACCTTTCTGTCTGGGTTATCTGTGCTGATGGGAGTGTGGTGGACGGTAAGAGAGTATGGGGAGCTCCACTGGGCTTAAGCTATACCATTATTAGCCTAAATTTTTTTCTCTCCTGCTTTACTCAGCCTCAGGTGCCCTCTCTCTACTACTGTGGGTTGGGGAAGAACATGTGTACTTGCAAATAAGAATCCTCTGGCTCCTTTTCTAAGAGGGCGAGCATGCATGCAGAAGAGATCAACAGCCTTCTTTTCCCATTCCTTTACCCTCCTTTCATATGTATGCACTTGTGTATGGATGCTGGTAGCTTGGTGTAGTGCAAAGAACCATTGATCAGAGGACATGGAATCTAGTGTTGGCTCTATTGCTAACTAGCATGTAGTTTCTTCTCCCCAATTGTAAAATGAAGGCATGGATCTAGGTTATTCTTTTTTTTTTTTTTTTTTTTTTTTTTTTTTTTTTTTTTTTTTTTTTTTTAAACCACTTCCTACACAACAGAGCTCCAGGAAAGAGAGGACTGTCTGGGGAAGTATTGATGAGTCTGTTGGGAAGGGGAGTCTTTAGCTGTCCTTTGGGTAGAACAGAAAAAGCTTCAACTTGGCATGGTAAAGCTTTTCCTGCTTTTATTAATTTTTCTTGGTTTCCCTTCTGTAAATCCTTGCATTCTTTGCCACAACTATTGGGCTTCCCACTTCCAGACTTCCTTCCTTCCCTGTCTCTTATACCATGCAAGTATATGAGAGAGAACCCACAGGCAGCCTTTCAAACCTGGTGAGTGAGGAAGAGATGCAGATGCATGTTCCTTTGTCTTTCCTGCAGTGTCTTCTATGACTCTGAGAGAACAGACATTGACAGTCTAAACTATTAGTCCCTGCCAGAACCAGAGCTGAGCTGCCCTGTATGTGTATTCACTGATGGGGTCAGACTTAGAGATCAAATGTCTTGTTAGTAAGTCAGGGCCAGAATTCATATGCCCACCTTACAGATAAGAAAACAGACTGAGAAAGAAAGGTAATAAGATTTCATAGCTAGTAACTAGTAGAGAGCTACAATGTGAACCCAGGTCTTTTGACTTCAGGTCCTGTGTGGTTGCCAGAACTCTGGGTTATATGTCCTGCCTAGGGAAGGGTGGTGATGCAGGTGTATAGAAGGTTTGTGGTTAACTGTTTTGAGCTTTTTATAATTCTCAAAATCCTAACACTTTACTGTTGAGAAAGACTTAGAAGAAGTTTACAAGGGTGTATACATGAGGCCTTGCATATGGGCTTGAGGGGTCCTTATGCCCTGTTATAAGTCTTGGGGAGAGTTGGAAGTGGATCCATTTATATGTTTGCCAGCTTAATGGATCTGAGGTGTCAAGAAATTTTAAGAAATATTAATGGAGCACTGATCGGGTTTAGGTTCCCTCTGGTCATACATTAAAGTGGGATAACCCAAGTTCCTTTCCTCTTTCTATTCTAGGATTGGCAGCCACCCTTTGCTGTGGAAGTGGACAACTTCAGATTTACGCCCCGAATCCAGAGGTTGAATGAACTGGAGGTGAGATTTGGAGAGGGTTTAAGTGTGCTTAGGACATAAAAGAGGCTTTGGAGTTCCAGATGTAAGGGCAAAGACAATTCACTTTTTTTTTTTTTTTTTTTTTAAATTTGGCTTTTTGAGACAATTTCTCTTTGTAGCTTTGGGTGTCCTAGAACTTCTATGTACACCAAGCTGGCCTTGAACTCATAGAAATCTTCCTGCTTTTTGTTCTCAGGCCCCCCCCCCCCCAATGCTGGGATTAAAAGCGTGTGAGACCAAAGGCTGGAGATGTTCCTTTCCCATAAAACTTTTCTACTTATGAATTTTCCCTGTCAATACCTGTCCTACCTACCTGGGTCAACAAAAGGTAGCTGTGTGGCTGGCTGAAACCTCTTCCTTGATCAGCTCAGTGTGGCCTCATATATTTAATTTATCCATGGCTTTGTGCTTCCTACCTTCCTTTTTTGATACTTAGAAGAGTGGATGGTTGTGTCGAAGAGCAAAAACAGTACAAGAACTAGTCTATGTAGAGGCTGGAATGGTTAGAGACATGGACAGGGGTCAGGCAGGTAGCCTTTTCCCTCCTTTTTGTTCTGTACAGGATGTCTGGGCCCCTAGGATAGGTGGTATTTTTCATTGGAGCTTGAGAATGCCCTGGGATGGTGAGAGTGGGTGTCCTAAAGCTGGTTTTAGGCACGCACGGTCCTGGAGTTTTCCATAGAAGATACAAGTTAGATGCATGTTCCCTTCCCACTCCTCCTCCAGTAATATGTGTCTTTGAGCCTTTTTCAGTATTCTAGTGGAGTATTGGGCCCAGCTGAATACCACTACCCCCAAATTTGCTTTTTTTTAAAAGACCATAATTCTTCAGCATTGGCACTATTGACAATTTGGATCAGATCTATCTATCTATCTATCTATCTATCTATCTATCTACCTACCTACCTACCTACCTACCTACCTACCTACCTACCTATTTTGGTCATGGGGTAGTTGTATGTGGATATACATGGAGCATAAAATTGTTCTCCATTGAGAATTACTGTCCTAAACTCAGTCTAGATATTGTTCAAGTCAGAACCAGAGTTAATCTCTTGTGAGTAGTGTGAGTTCCTTAGAGAAATAAAATCTGACCAGGTCTTTGGCTGGTATAGCTGTGGACAGGTATTACCTAGCACTGAACAAGCGTAGGTCTTCTAGAGTTTTCCTGCTAGTTAATAAGGGAAGGAGCAGAGGTGAGGCCAAGTTTATAAAGGTAAGGGGTGGGTTCGTATGGATGGTGTTCTTAATACCATTAGGATTTTCACTGCCAAGGAACTTTAGTTCATTTCTTACCTTGGGTACACCTTAGTTCTTCTCTACCTAGGACTCAGAGGACTGACTAGAAAAGGGCTTCTGTCTCAAGTGATTTGTTTTTGTTTTTTGAGACAGGGTTTCTTTGTAGCTTTGGGCCTGTCCCAAGAACTAGCTCTTGTAGACCAGGCTGGCCTCAAACTCTCAGAGATCTGCCTGCCTCTGCCGCCCCCCCCCCCCCCCAGTGCTGGAATTAAAGGTGTGCATCACCACTGCTGGGCATTTCTGAAGTTTCTAGAGGGTCTTAACCGTTCTTCTTAATTAAGTCCATATCTCTGGGGTAAGTGTACTATTTTCCTTTTCCCATTTTTTGTTTTCAAAACAGTGTCTCAAGTAACCCAGGCAGGCCTCAAATCTGCTATGTAATGGAGTCTGGAGTTTAACTCCTCATTTTCCTGCCTCTGCCTTTCAAGTGCTGGATTACAGGTGTGAGCTACCAAACCTGGCATTTATTTTCTAGTAAAAATATATGGGGTGCAGTGAGTGGTGTGCATTTGCTCAATCAGCAAATCAGTGGAGAGAAGGCTAAGCTTAGAGTTACTTGATTATTTATGTATCTTGTTGTGTGACTTAACTCTTTTCTAGCCCTATTTCTTCATCTGTATAAGACATAATAATACACAAACAACCTTGTCAAGAGAATGAGACAAAGACTATTACGACCTTTTGGAAAATGAGAAAAAAGTGGGGCCAAGCACTGTCTTGAGCCCAGAGCTCATTTTACTCGAAGTCTACTCTGTTCCCTTTCTCCCCTAAGTTTGAGCCAGAAAATGGGCCACTGCAGAGTGTGGGGGGTGGGATGGAGTGTTGGTGGTAATGGATGGGTGGTGGTAGGAGGTGGCTGGTGTTTTTGAGCCATTTCTTCTTTAGGCCCAGACAAGAGTGAAACTGAACTATTTGGACCAGATTGCCAAATTCTGGGAGATCCAGGGCTCATCCTTAAAGATACCCAATGTAGAACGGCGCATCTTGGACCTCTATAGCCTCAGCAAAGTAAGAACAGGTTTTTCTCAAATATTTCCCAACCCTGTCTCAATAAACCCTTGTTATGCTAGGACCCCTTCTGGTTTGGATGTTGGGTCTCTGGGCTGTATGGAAGGGGTGGACTGGTAGCACAGCAGAATATTTTCCCACCTCTTACAGAAGTTTGAGATTGGGAGAAGCGAGAGGCTGCAGTTGTCTTTCTTATCTTTCTGTAGGCCTGCTGCTGGATGTTCACATCCATCATGGCCCTTTTTGCTCTTCCTTGCAGATTGTGGTGGAAGAAGGTGGTTATGAAACTATCTGTAAGGATCGTCGGTGGGCTCGTGTGGCCCAGCGCCTCAACTACCCACCTGGCAAAAACATCGGTTCCCTGCTACGCTCTCACTATGAACGCATTGTTTATCCCTATGAAATGTATCAGTCTGGAGCCAACCTTGTGGTAAGGATGCCAGGCTATGGTGGAGTAAAAAAAGTCTTTATCCTCAGGCACATATTGGTACACTTTTTTTTTGTTTGTTTATTTGTTTATATTTGACACAGGGTCTTGGTATGTGGCAGGCTGGCCTAGAAGTCACCACGCAGCTAGCCCACTTACTGTGTAGCTCAGACTACACTCAAAACTCCTCCGCTGGGAAGTCCAGAGGTGACTAATAAGTCCTCCTACTTCAGTCCCCCAGCTAGATTTCAACTGCCATGCCCTTGCTGTCTTAGAATCTTCTTTTTTTTTAAATTATTTTTATTTTATGTGTGTTGGTGTTTTGCCTGCATGTGTGTCTGTGTGAAGGTGTCGGATCCCCTGGAACTGGAGTTAGACAGTTATGAACTGCCATGTGGGTGATGGGAATTGAACCCAGGTCTCCTGGAAGAACAGCCAGTGAACCACTGAGCCATCTCTCCAAACCCTTAGATTCTTTTTTATTTTCTTTTGAAGCAGGGTCCTCTTATAGCCCAAGCTGGTCTCAAACTTTGTAGGCAAGGATGAGTTTGAACTCTTAATCCCCCTGCTTCCACCTTTCAGGTCACTGAAATTACAGGCATGCACTACCATACTAAGTTTAAGCAATACTGGGGATCAAACTCTGGCTATATCTATGTTAGGTAATTTACCAATTGAGTTGTGTCTCCACATCCTTACCTTGAACTTTATAAATTACATTTAAAATTACGGTATGTACATACATGCACATGGAGGTCAGAGGATGCTTTTCAGGATTTCATTCTCTTCCACCTGTGGGTTCATGGGATTGAACTGAGATTATTCTGTCTTTTTTTTTTTTTTT